CATCGGCGCCATGTCAGCCTTGGCCATGACATCAGTGGCTGCGGTGTCAGAGCTGCTTGTGTCTTCAGCCAAAGCGGTGTCGGGGTTTGCTGTGCAATGAGTGGGTTCAGTGTCGTCCTTCGTGGTGAGGTCGGCCAGTGTGGTGTCAGGGTTGGCCGTGTCCTCAGTCTCAGCAGTCTCAGAGGTTGCCGTGCGATCAATCAGCTCGGTGCTGCCCTCAGGCTTCTCCTTGAGCTCAGCTGGCCTGGTGTCAGGCTGTGCCATGAGCTCAGGTGCTGTGCTCCTGGGTGTTCTTCGCCGAATGCGCATGATTTTCAGCAACCTCTGCAGGAGAAGAAAGGGCAGGGAAGAGAGGGAAGTCCAAGGGAACGCTCCACCAGCAGTGCCAGGCTGAGCAGGGACAGCAGGCCCAGCCCAGGGGGGGATGGCTGCAGGTACCTGAACTGCTCTGCGGAAGCGGCCATGGGGGCGGTCCTGCTCCTCTGTCCGGTCCTGGCCTGGATCTGTCAAAGAGGGAGCGCAGGCAGAGCTGAGGGGCTGCAGGAGAGGCCAGGGAACACAGCCCAGCCCTGCACTCCCGAGGCAGGGCCGGCCCTGGGGTGCCCAGTGGATGGAGCAGGGATGTTGAGGAGGGTGGCCTTGGCCCCTCTTTCCCCCTCCTTTTTCTCTGGGTGCGCCCACAGGGGACAGGAAGGGGCCAAGCTGGCTGCAGCCACCAGTGCTGTGGCCCTGCTCCAGCACTCACCCTGCTGCAGAGGCTCCTCAGCTTGCTGTGCTGGGGCCGCCCCAGGGCCTCTCCTGTTCCTCTTCCTTCTCAGCAGCCTGAACAGGCTGAAGCGTCTCCCTGCCATCCCACAGGGTGGTCTCAAGGGAACTTGCACGAGAGACGCCTTGGAAAAAACACTGGTGGGCAAATCTCAAAAAATTGCCGCAAGGGCACCTTCCACAGGGACTGCTGGTGAGCAAGTCCCGTGGTCTGGCCTCGAGGGCACCTTCCACAGGGACTGCAGGTGACCAAGTCCCGTGGTCTGGCCTCGAGGGCACCTTCCACAGGGACTGCAGGTGACCAAGTCCCGTGGACAGGCCTCGTAGGCACCTTCCACAGGCACTGGTGATGCCCAGAAAAGCTCCAGGTCACCAAGGCCCGTGGCCTGGCCTCGAGGGCCACTCCCACAGGGAGTGAGGATGCCTCGGAAAAACCTCCGGGTCACCAAGTCCTGGGGTCTGGCCTCGAGGGAACTTGTAAGAAAAAGAACTCTCGGAATTGCTTCGGGTCAGCAACGAACGAGTTGGCTGCGAGGAGACTCCTCACAGCACCGCTCAGTCCCGTCCTGACCAGACGCGTGCTCCGAGCACTGTGGCGCGGCCGCGTTGCCGCCCAACACCTATATCAGGATGTGTCACAAAGGGCCCTTGGACACCCTGCCCTGTCCCATCCCATTGACGATGGTCACCGTGTCACAAAGGGCCCTATGACACACTGCCACGGGCCCTGAGGCCTCTCCCAACCTGGCCAACCTGCCCCAGCTGGGAAGGAATCCATTCCCTAAAGCATCTGAAATACCTGGATGTGAACTTTAGGAACGGCTCCAAAAAGGAGCAAACACTCCCCTCCTGCACCTGCTCATGGCAGCAGAAGGAGCCCCCTCGGGAGAAGGCCTGGCTGGTGGCCATCTAAACAGGGGCCTGTGACACAGAGGAGCAACGTGTGGGCAAGGGCACGAATGCTGCTCTGACCCCTTTGGCCGCAGCTGCACTGAAATCAGCAGCAACTCATTTGCCTTCACATGATCCATTGAGAGTCAATTTCAAAAACTAAACAGAAGCAAAAAAACCTGACTTTGTTTGGTTTGCAAAGGGTTTTTTATTAAGGGATAAGAATAGAATAGTTCTGATAAGGGATAAAAGCCCTCAAGGAATAAAAGTTCTCTCACTCTTCCAAAAGCACCCCAAACAAGGGAGGATATTGCAAAAACACTAATCCTCCCTCTAGTGCAGAGAGCTGACTGGCCAGGAAAGCTTTGAAGGGCTCAAAAATACAAAGTCAAATCTGTATTGGATGATTTGGAGTTGAGAGAGTGAGTTCTCCAGCCTTTCTAAGGCCTTCCCTCTCATCCTAGGGACACTCAGGCAGGTGCTTTAAAGTTCAGTGGTGTTCCTTGAAGGATCCAGTCATGTGCCTGAAGATGCTTCCATGAGTCTGCTTGCCAAAAAATCCTCACCAGTGCATACTGAATGAAAGTTTTGTTTTTCCCATGTGTTCAGTTTTGCAGGAACTAAAATTTCAGTAAAACGCATCCCCTAATCTAGTAATGTAAATGAATATATCAACTCCAAAACCTACTTGAGGTGGTGTCCAAGCTACCGTATGCTGTGTGCTCTCAGCCCATAGGTGTTGTCCCACCAGTATCTCCTGTTCTATAGACTTTGTTTTTTTAGGATATTTTTCTATGTCTAGCTCCTTTCAAAAGCAGCAGACAAGGAGCTGTAAAAGAGTACCCAAACCTTACACTTCTGAGTTTAATGCACAGAGAACAGTTGGTTTGGGTTGGTTTCTACAGCCCTAATTCTTCAGCCATGTGATAAAGGAGCCCAACTGTGGATTTTTTAAATATACACAAATACTTTTTCAGCTCTGCTGGTTGAAAGGAAGAGTTTGGACACGAACATTAAAGGATAAAAAAAAACCCTCAAAGAGAAGAATAAAATAAAAAAGTGCCTTTGTTATTATTTACATGACTATTTTTTTCCTGGCAGAAATATTATCTATATAAAAAAAAATACCCACAAGTGAAAAAACTCCTTCTAGCTGCTAATCAAACTTACAAACTGTGGGCAGTAGAGCCAGCAGAGCTCAGCAACCTGTGATGCTTTCCAGTTGTTTCTATTCTCCCTTAAAAAATAAAAAAGAAAAGGGAAAGAAATGCTTGTCTGCATATCAAGTGCTCTCAGATAAAGACAGTCTTGCATGGTCAGTCCTAGGAATGCTGTAAGCCAACCTAAATTACACAGCAACAGGCTTAGGGAAGGGACTGGAAGGTTGGTTGATTTGTTTTGGCTTTTGAAAGACTTTTCCACAGCGGAGGTTAAGAAAAATATTAGTTTGTCCCAAAGCCCTAGAAAATAGGAACTGAAAATAGGAACTGAAAATAGGAATTTCCCAGGAATGCTAGCGGTCTGGGGTGTTCCATCGCTCCTGAGAAGCTGCTTGTGCAGCTGAAAGTGCAGCTTTTCTGAGGGGAAAGGAGGTGAATAAAACCATTTTTGGCTTTACCAAAGGCATCCAAATCCCAGCACCAATTCTAGAAAGGTGGTGTTAGAAAGAGGCACAGCTCAGCATGGTCTGGGATAGAGGCTTCATGTTTTGCTGATATTTTCTGATAATAATTCCAAATGTAAACGAGAACATCAGGGTCTTTCACAAATGAATTCTCAAAAATGCCAGGAGGGGTTTGAAATGGTTTTCCAAACCTAGTACCTTGCTGAAAGGTCACCTTATTGAAGGCAAGTCGAGATGTCCAGTTCTGAGATTTGGCTGGAAATATTCAAGATTTGTATCCTTGAGAATGCCTCTCCTTTGGCAAGCAAAAGGAGATAAATGATGTAAACTTGATCCACATTTTAAACCCACCACTTCACTGAGACACCAGCAGAAATGTTTTTTTTATTACAAAACATTTTATTGTAGTTATTTACACCCGTTCCTCGATAAGTGTATAAATGTAAACATTTATTATAGACATATTTCTCTTATCTTACAGTCCATCCCTTGTTCAGGTTAAATGTCATTTTTTTTTTAAGCATACAGGTGGTGAGGGGATTTCAGCTATATTCACAGAATATACATCTGCGTGCAGGGGAGGTCCACCAGCCCTAAGCCAGTGGTATAGACACTGTCCCGTTAGCTCTGCTCCTGCTCCTCGTGTGTACGCTGGACTCTGTGATCTCATCAGCATGATCCTCACTCTTCTTCTCCTTCAGGCTGTTGATGAACCTCAGGGTTATCTCGTCCCATTCCTCGGGGAGCAGCATGAGCAGGAACCCGATGCAGATGATGATGGTGGCTCCCAACCTCACCACGCTGAAGATCATTTTGTGCTTCACCAGATCCACGGCTGCGGGGAAGGAAACAACAACTACATCAAACCAGCAGTGGGATGTGTCACCAAAACCAGGATAAATCAAACTCTGTAGCTATTTTTTTTAGTATTGGAAAGCAGGCATTACTTTATTACCTTGTTATTTCTATATGTTTATATACTTCAATAATAATCTATTACTATTATTATCGGGGTGCTTGTGGGGTCACTCCACCAGACACACACACCCACTTTCAATACTTTTCACTATTTTATGCATTTTTAGCAAACAAAGAAATTAATGTTCCTTGGCTATAAATTTCATAATTCTCTTCATCAATTAGTATTCTATCTTCTATTGGTTATTGATTGCTCGCTTCACATGGTAATTAATTTGCATTTTCAGTCTTTTTGTTATCTTTTTTCCCAGACAGAGAGAGTTTCAGCACAATTACTGAATTGTCTTTGTTAGTTTTTTCCTTGTCTCTGATTTCCAACAGATGGATGATGGCATCAGAGCAGCCTGGCACGTCTCTGTGACCCGTGTGCTGCACTCTGGCTGTGACAGTGGCCATGTAGCTCTCAGATCTTCAGAGTGAGCAGCTCCCTTAGCTCAGAGAACAGCTTTGACCTGACAGCACAGTACTGGAAGTGCCATATCTCTTCCATCCCTCACCACCTCATGCAGGCTCTGAGGAAGCCTTGTGGGATCCAAGCCTCAAGGTTTCCATGTGAAAGGGTCTATGAGGAGCAGCTGAGGGAGCTGGGGGGGCTCAGCCTGGAGAAAAGGAGGCTCAGGGTGACCTTCTCACTCTCTATGACTCCCTGAGAGGAGGTTGTAGGCAGGTAGGTGTTTGCCTCTCAGGTAACGAGTGACAGAACAAGTGGAAATGGCCTCAGGTTGGATATTAGGAAATATTTATTAATTGAAAGAACGGTTAAGGACTGAAACAGGCTCCCCAGGGAAGTGGTGGAGTCACCATCCCTGAAAGTGTTCAAAAAGTGAGTAGACGTGGTACTTCACTATATGGTTAAGTGGCCATGGGGGTATTTTGTTGAAGGTTTGACTTGGAGGTCCAACCTCCAATCTCCTTGGAGATTTTGGAGGTCTTTTCCAACCTTAATGAATCTATGATTCTGTGACTTCTTCTCTGAGAGGGAAGGCACTTTATGGTAACTCTTTATCTTCAACAGTTTGCACCAGCAGAATGTTTCCTTGGGCTGCACAGACCAGGGACTGGGAGAGAGCAGCACGTGGGTCAGAGAGCTGGAGTCGGTGCCTCCCAGACCCACAACCAGCACCAAGAGGGCACCTGAGCCCTTGGGCAGCCTCCTTCAGGTACTGACTGTTCTGCAGCTCTGACCTGCATCCCCCTAAAAATAGATGTTTCTTTGAAAACATGCTCAAATCCCAGGAGCGGCGAGGCTGAGAGGGTGGAAGAGCAGAGGCAGAGGCTGTTCAACAAGACAGGACTCTGGAATAAATTTCCACATATACCCCCTGCCCTGATGACAACAAATTTCAAGTATTTGGACAATAAACTGCTTGTGCTGTCTGTGTGCCTGTGGGCTTATTTTTCCACCACCAGCCGTGGTACCTGCATTTCCAGGGACGCTGAGCACTGTGCCAATGGAGATCAGGATGGGGTATGTGAGCACGACACCAACGTTAACCAGGATATTGAAAGCTAGGGAAAAACAGAGCAAATCATACATGATTACAGGGAAAAACACTAGAGTGAGAGATTTCTCTTCCACTTGACCCTACAAGTGTGACATCGGTATCCACACCACAATTACATAGTTGTCACAAAGTGAGTGATTTTGGGTTTTTTTATTTAGGAATGAAGGGAAGTTCTGAATGGAGTAATGGGAAGGGCTGCATGGCCTTTCACAAACTGTAATACCAAGGTTATCACACTCATATTTCATGGCTTTTCCCAAGCTTTCATCAGATACAAACAACCTGTTTTTGCTGCCAGAAACCTTCATTTGTTCCCCTACCAGAAGGGTGGTGATCCCAGCTTGCCCTCTTGGCTGAGGCTGTGTTGTCCTTGTCTCAGTGGGACATTTCCCTGACAAAAGGCTGCAAACCCTCCACCTGGACCACACCCCAAAGGTGACAGCAGTAGGAACTCATACTCTAAAGGACACTAAACACAATTAGCTGACAAATTTAACTGCAAACTAAGCAGACTGGGGCAAGACCAAGGCCTTGGTGCCATGTTGAAGGCAAAATGAAATCTGACAGAAATAAAAATATTCAACACCTTAAACTTATGGATTGGATTTTTTTTGGTTTTTTTGGGTTTTTTACATGACAGCATTAACAACCAGCTACAATTTCCTTGGGAGATCAAAAGCAAGCTGCAGAAACCTCCAGAAATTTTCTTCTGGTCACCCAGTCCTGCTGCTGAGTCCCCTACATAAAAGGAGCAAAGGGTTGCTCCTCCTTGTCTGCTCCATGAGGTTGTTCCCTCATGGCTGGGTTTATACACTTTGGTAGATTGATGGGTGATAAATTAGCCCTGCTTTTTGTCCCTCAGGTGCTCACAGAGGAGCTGAAATTCTGGTTCAAGGCACTCACAGAGCTCAGCTGTCAGCACAACCACGTCTCAGGACGGGCTGTGTACCAGGCATTCTCTTTGCTTCCATTTGATAAACGTGTAGTGGAGACAGAAACCTCTTCAATTATGAAATAACAGAGACTTTACTAAAGGAAAGGATGTTGTTATATCTGGAAATTAAAACGCCCCTGGGCTGAATCCAACAGATACTGTGCCTGGCTGGAGAATGGCAATTGTGGCTCAGGAAGAGGGAGAGTTATGGAAGGGCTGTGTGAGCCTTGCCCAGCACCTGCAGCACCCACAGAAAGGTGCCCCAGCACTGGGGATCCATGTGTCAGTGCACAAACACCCCACAGAGTGTGCCAGGAAGACACTGAGAACACACAGCCCTTTGGAATGGGATTTAGAGCAGTCAAGCTATTCCAGAGACAGGGGAATTGGTGTGGAACTGGAGTAGGGATGAAAAAGTGAACCATTAGTATGGCTGCTTCATGTTTACTCCCTGCTATTATTACCACTATTAATTATTAATTATAATTATCGCTTATATCTTAATTATTAATTATATATTAATTGTTAGTATTATTTCATTAAGAATAATGAAAAATATAAGTAATTTTTAAGGAGTACCAATTTGCACTGGGACCAGACTTAATCTGTGAGAGAGCTCTGATGTTTAGGAGGACAGGGGGGAATTGTTTGTGCCAGAGGCTAATTTTGTATTGGTGGGGAGAAAAGAGCTGGGAAAATGAGTATTTTTTTTTAATCACATACCTAACCAGAGGCCAGCTACTCCACACAGGTAACCCCAGGGCACAGCAGAGAAAGGGTACCAGTACTCCACTTTTGTAAAATACAGTATGATTGGGGTGACAGAGATGAAGATGAAATTGAAGAAGCCCAGTGTAGACACAAAATGAGCTGCTTCCCCGAAGTTTGCACTTCCAAGGAACATTTTGAACAAAACCTGCAAAGGAGAGGAGAGAGGAGGGGTTTAGAAGTCATGACAGTTCATGGGAGCAAAGTTCTCCTGCACAAATTCATTACCGACGTGAGCAAACTCTGAAGCTGGGAGGCAAATTCTGATCCCACTACAACAAACTCCAAAATTTACACCCACTTCACCCTCCTCAAGCCGACAATAAACACAGCCACGCTCAGCCCAACCTGTTTCTGAGACATGACTCTGCCTTTTCCATCCCTCACCTTCCAGAGCAGCCACTGCTTCCAAGCATTCTCAGGTGTGCTGAGCTCACACCAGGGCTCCAAGCCCAGCAGGAGCACAGCATGTGCAGGGGTGAGCCCTGCATTCCCACTCAGGGAAAGCAGCACATCCCACATCCAGGCTCTCCATTCTGCACTTGGAAAGTCCCTTTGAAACGGTGTTTTTAAATGACACTTGCATGATTAAAAAATTATCTTAAACTCCTTATAGCGTAGCAATGAAGATTTCATTAAAGACTCATAAAGCAAAGCCACCCCGAATATTTGGCAGGTGACAACTAATTACCCTCATGGTGGATTTCCTGATGTGGTGACATCACCTGGTCACAACATGAATGATGCAGGAAATAAAACATTTATTTTACAGTCACTCTCTTTGTACTTGTGCATATTTAACAGCTGATAATAGTGAATATAAGAACCCAAACAAACAGTCGTGACCTACCTTATACAAGGCAGATGTGGAGGCTGATCCCACAGCATATGCCACCCCAATGATTGAATCTCCCTGGAAACCATCTGCATATGCCATCATCACAATTCCTGTGATTGCCATGATTGCTGCAACTATCTGCACAGACAAAGCAAAGCAGTGTAAAGCTCAGAGCTACTTCAGCCCGTGGGAAGAGATCCTCAGTGCGTGGGGTTCTCATGAGTGTCACTGGCTACTTTCTCTGACTTGGAGCTTTCTTGGTTTCCCTTCAATGGGAAAAATTATGGGAGAGATGTGAAGCATAATGAAAAGTGTGAGCACTGGTAGTGGTATGGATCTATAGCATTGCAAATTCTGCTGGGACCTACTGACAAGGCCTGCACCTGTTTAGCTGTTTTATCAGCTAAACATTCCCTTTGGAGAGATGGCTCCAAGATCAAGAAATTCTAAGACATTGTGTTCCATTATGCAACAAGGGAAGTATTTAGCAACACCCCAAATTTGACTCGAAATACAAGCATTAGATGGCCAAACTTCCTGGACATTAGTCCAGGGGAATGACTCCTGTCTTGTGGAATGCCAGAGTACCACTGGGAGCTTTTCCAGGCTGTTCTGGCCAGCTTTCTTGGACAGACATGACCTAGTTTCTCCATGAAGCCTTTACCTTTGTGCTTAGGTTTCTGGCCTCATTTGGAAATCTCAGACAGGGCATCTAAGAGGCTTCAAAGAAAAATAACAGGAATAATTAACTACACCATGTCTGAAACCCTGGGTCCTGACTCCAAGGACCTTAAGGAAGTGATAGCGAGCCCAACATGTTTTATTCTTTGGAAAACTCCCCCTCTCCACCTAATTGCCCTAGCATGTAAATAAGGAGTGGGAATTTCAAACACAATCAAGACCCAACTTCCAGGGAGTGCAGAGAAAAAGGTGTTTCCTGAGTCAGTGTACAATTCCTGAGCCAACACCAAAGGGAGATGGGCACTTGCCTCTTGGAAAACATCACTGAACTCCAGTTAAGAAATATTTGGTACTAGACAAACCCAAGCTTCACAGGCTTCAGCCCACAGACTTTAAAGGCATCTTGATCCAATCATGTGACCTTCTGCAGAGAAGCCTGACTTTCAGAGCTCACAGTTTGACCAAGAGTCCCAGAAAACCCATTGATACTCCTACCAAGCACTTGTGAGCCAGACTGAGGCAGTGAACACAAAAATCCCACAAAACACTTTCAGCAGAGCCAGTCAGTCCCATGATTCAAGGGACACACAGGACAGGGACAAACACCTGACCCAGGTAAAAGTGTCCATACATGGGGAGACAATGGGAAACTCCCAGAGTAGAGACTACAGGTAGAAATGTTAGGGCTTCTAAATCTCATAGGTACCCAGGCCAACATCGTCACAGAGGAACTCATCTCCTGGTTGCAGCTTTAATTACTTCCCTCTCACCATTATCCCTATTTTACTAGTACCTGAGGCACACAGGTACCCCCCTGGCATTGCAGTGGCTCTGCCAAAGGCAGTCAAAAATCACACTGCATGTCTGTGTTCCACCTTACTTCCATTTAAAACATCCAAGCTCCAAGATACAGGTCCACAAAGCTGCCACCTAAGCCTGAAGATATCGCTGATACCTCCAAATTCACCATGAAATGGCACCTGAAACCCAAGTCCCCCAGTTTAATGATGTGGGCTGGAGTCACTTGTGTAGTCACAGTCTCTCAGTGGTTTGATGGGATCTGAAAGGGCTTTAGCAAGAGGGGACCAAGACATCTTCCCTCCTCTCCTTCCCAGGATAACACATCCCAGCAGTCAGGCCATCCTGGGAGACTCCACAGAAGTCCCAGCTTTGAAGCAATGCTGAATTACACCGAGGACCCCTCAGACATCCATGGCCTCTCCTCTCAGTTTCCAGAAGTTTCCCCTTTCCCTGCTCCACTGCCTGGCTGGGTTCATTGCAGGCTGCACTAAACACTTTGCCTTGCACATAATTCAGGTGCAGCATTTCAGCTGTCAGCTGGAATATTTCAGCTGGAATGTTTCATGCAGTGTGTCTCACAAGGCAAACCAGAAGAGTCCAGTGCAGTTAACCCCTCCTTCCAAGGGAAAGGATCAAGATCTAAGTCTTAGAACACTCATCTCTCAGTTCTTTCCTTGTGTTAGTGAAAATGAGTAGATCCATCATCTCCAGCAGATTCTTCCCATTGGGAAAAAACTCCTTCCCAGTCTGACTACACCAAATTTAGAGAGCCAGTTTCCTAATTTAATTAAATATTTAGAAAGCCAAGAATGCTTTTTTCCCATTTATTTTTCCTGAAACAACTAAAATGATGGACACATATGGGGTAAAACCACCCCATGAGACATCCAATAAGTAAGACCTGACACTGAAAACAGCAAGAACAATGTTTAAGTTCCATGTTCAGAGCTCCTCCTGCACTTCACCCACCACAGCATCAGCAGAGCTGACCTCTGTCTGGCAACCCTCAGGTGTTTGCTTTAGAAACCTGAGGGCATATCCTGTGCTGCTCCACGTTGACAAGCAGCAGCAAGGTCACAGGGAAGCAAAGATGGTTGCTGCAGCTGCCAGCTCATTAAACAGGGCTTTTAATTAATGGAGGAGTGTAGTAACTTGCTTTTGAAGCCTCCTAGGTGCAGAATGAAATTAGCTTCCCTCTTTTTTTCCTGGGAGAGAGCAAGGCCAACCAACATTTTACTCAGAAACACTTTTTTTTCCCCCCACGTAGAGCACAGCAGAAAACAAGGTGTACTTAAGAATCACAGAATCACAGAATGGTTTGGGTTGGAAGGGACCTTAAAAATCACCTAGTTCCAATTCCCCTGCCACAGGCAGGGACACCTCCCACTAGACCAGGTTCCTCCAAGCCCCATCCAGTTTGGCCTTGAACACCTTCAGGGACAGGGAAGAAACCTGCCCCCAGGGTGAAGTCAATATTTTCAAGGGAGAAAAATGTCTCCAAATCTCTCTGTACCTACCTAATAAACACTGATTACACCTCACAGATGAAACCCAATCAAGGGCTCAAACATGCAAACATATGAGCATAAGGCTAAATCTGAGCAACACAGGCCAAGAACTACTCAAATATGCAAAGTCTTTAAAATATTTGTGCTTGTTCTGAGCCAAAGCTTAACACTTAGCCTGACAGGGTCCACCACTAAACCATGTCCCTAAGCACCAGTCTACATGTTTTTTGAACACTTCCATGGATGGTGACTCCATCACTTCCCTGGGCAGCCTGTTAAATGCCTGAACATCCTTTCTGTGAAGAAATTATTCCTAATATGCGTTCTAAACCTTCCCTGGCACAACTTGAGGCCATTAGCTATATAGTCATGGCTGTATCTGTCTTTCCCAGCTGAATACTCTTTCTCCAGCTGGTGTTTCTCTCTCGTGGTTTGAGTGCTACAACTTCTCCAGTGAGGGCACAAGGCTCTAATTGCAGAACACACACTCCAGGTAGCTCAAACACAGCCAGAGCAGCCTTTCTGCAGCTATTAAATGCTTCCATGGGTGGGATTAAGCCATACCATAAGGTGACCATCAAGACAGGTTTGTCTTTAGACAGCATATCTAAAACTCCAGCCCCGCAGCCTGGCCAGGGGCTGCTTTCCAGCCGTGCAGGAGCGCTGTGCCATGGGATAGGAGAGATCCAAATGCCCGTGGGCATCCCTGGGCAGTCTGGACACTGCCTGCAGCCACACCAGCTGGGCAGGGAGCTGGGAATCTGCTGCAGAGCCACTGAGGCTGCTGGTTCTCTTTCAGGCAGATGAAAGTGGTCTCAGGTGAGACGCAGACGTGCCTGACGGCTCCGAAGCTCTGGGAGAGTTGGTAGGAGCTGAGCTCCTTTGAAAAGCTGGCTGAGCTCCCGGGTGCTGAGTGCTTCTACAAAAAATGGCTCAGAGTATATGATTAAGCCCTTATTTCTTTCTGTCTCCTTATTGTCCAAATAACTCAATTACCCTTGCTCTGAGAGGCTGTGGTGAGAGCAGAGGAGGCATTCAAAGCACAAAAGGTTGGGGCTGTGCTGCTTTGTTGTATTTTAGCTCTCAAACAGTCTCCTGTGTGGTTATTAACATCATTAAGTGTTACTCTGGCTGCTGGAAAAATGCTGTGATTTACCTTTGCAGCAATGGGTATCCAGAATCTGCCTCTTAGCAGCAAAACTCAGTTTCTTTTATGTGCAGAATTTGCTGCTCACTTTTCCTGCTGGGTTTTTGTTGTGTGAACCCCACGGTGTTTTACAGCATTAATACTAATGCATAATTGTAGCAACCTTTTTTTAGGCAGTGAAAAACGAGTAATAACTGAAAATAGCTTTTATTTCTAGGTTTCTTTAAGAGGGCAGGCTAAGAAAACACAAGAGCTATGCTTGCTCTTCTAGGAAGATATTGCTTTGAGACAAAAATCACCTCAAAGGGTACAAAATTTCCTATTTTTTCAGCTAGGACCTGAGATGACCAAGGGGCAGAGTTTTATATGAAACAGGTATCTGGCTTTAGCACTCCAAGGTGGAATGTCCATGTCCTTACCTTCAAGGGCACCGTGGTTGAGGGTGAAACACGGGTTCACCTCCTCAACTTGGCAAGCACAGTGCTCTGCTCAGTGTGCTGGTGGCTGCTCCAAGAGCCAGATGAGATGCCTGTACACCAGAATGCCTTTTCCTTTCATTTCTGAACCCTTCTATCAGACTATTCATTAAAAAAAAAAAAAAGCTGCTGTGCTCATTTTAAAAAAAAAAAGTTTACTTAGACGAGGTCTTGATCCATCACACTTTCCATGGAACTTAAATCCAACAGCTGGTGGCATTTTCTGATCACAGGCATCACACCTGGCCACAAACAATCCCTAAGGAATTTCAAGGCTCCTGATAGTTCACTCAGAATCATCAGGCCTTGAGCCATTTCAGAGGAGGAATCTATGTCAGCAGAACTGCTGGAAATCCTCATTACTCCTTATCCAATGTTTAACCCAGCTGTATGTCAGGAGTTCTGTGTGTGCAAAATTACAGGGAACACACTGCTTTCCCCAGATCCAGGCACACAGCATTTTGTTTGAGTTCTTTTTTTCCCAATTTTTGCAGGGTCCATATTACTGCCAGTGAGTCCTGTAACACTTTAGTGCAAAATACAACTTCACACAAATCAGTTGTGCTCCTTTTAAACCAATTTTGGCACATGCACGTGGATATGAGTGTGTAAAAAGTACTAGGGTAGCATAAGAAAAATAGGTAAGACAGTGAAAACAGCTGCCTAGCCAAACAAGGAATTAAACTGCTTTGGTCAGAACCTAAGCATTCATCACTAAGTTTAAAATAAAACTAACTAAACTTCAGCATTGTAAGCCAAGACAGAGTGGGTTTATGTGAAAGTGGAAGTCCTTCTATTTTAATTTATCATGTTACACTTTAGCTGTAATAGCTTCTTGAAATTTCCCACCTCTGGAGTCTGAGATCTCTAGCTGATCTTAAGGCTTAGATCTCCATAATAAAAGTAAAACGAGAAATGGTTTCGTGGTATATCTATACCACAATGCAGCAGTGCTATGGCAGCACAATGGCTTATGGATTTAAGTGCAATTTTACGAAAACAAGAGAGAGTGGAAAGCGAGGCACATCATTACCCTTGCTCCCATGAACCTGTCTTTCAGCACAATCCAAGAAAGCAAGAAGACAAAAGCTTTGTTACAACAGAAGAGGGCAGAGACGTCTGTGGCTGTCAGCTTCTTTAAAGCCAGTAAATACAGGTAGTTAGTCAAAGTCCACAGAATAGAAAAGGGAGCAGTCCTTTTAAGAAAGAGTTTCAGCGTCAGACCATCTTCACCAAAAATCCGACTGCATTCCCTACGAAAAGAAAAGAGTTTCAGTCTCAGCCAGGATTTTCCTGAGCGTTCACTCCAGCACAACAAACATTCATTAGACTTTTATGGCATTCAATTAAGTGCTTTTCCTACCTGCTCCTTTGCACCCATGAGAATCCATTATTTAATTCACATAGAGAAAATAACCCACAATCTTCTTAAAACAGCAATTTCGCAAACAGAAAAGGAGTAACTTACCTGGAATAATCACACTCTGAGCAACAATAATCCCAGGGACTCACACACAGAAATGAAGGTTATCTATAATGCTCTGACAGTTCCCAGACTCTGCCTTCCAGGCCATGAGCACAGGGATTATAATCACCTTTTTTTTTACTCTGTAGCTTGCCAGGTTTTTTCTTGCATTGCTCCAAATCCTGTTTTTATTCTTATTGAAATATATTCTCACCTATAGCCAAGCAAGCTTTAAGAATTGCTTAAAGATACTCCAAAATACTGCCAGACACATCACCATGGTGGAGAAGTGAGACACCAGGCAGTGGGACCGAGCCAGGCAAACAGCAGTGTGAGAGATGGAAGGAAAAGGGAGGGAAGGAAATTTAATACCTTTATTTTAATATACAGTGAAAAGTTTTGCTTGCTAGGAGACAGTTCCTTGTGGATCAAATTGCAAACAAAATCTCTTAGTTTCCCAGGCACTGTGTCACACACAGCTCCAGTGAACTGTTTGCTTCTTAGGGTTTCAAGAAAGAGAAGGGTCAGCTCAGCAGACATTGCTTTTGGGGACAGCTGTCCTGTGCAAAGTGGTACCTCATGGGCTGAGAAGAGACAGGACTCCAGCATGCAGGTAGACTAAAGGCACATGGAATCCTGGAATAGTCTGGGTTGGAAGGGACCTTAAAGACCATTTAGGTCCAATCCCATTGCTGTGGGCAGGGGCACCTTCCACTAGACCAGGTTGCTCCAAGCCCCCATGTTGGACACAACCTGGCCTTGAACATTGCACCCCTCCTGAGACATCTCTACCTTTCCCAAACTGAGAAGGACTTTTTTAGCAACTCCACTGTCTGTATTCTTGGTTAAAGGTATTCCTGAAGATATTCCAGGTATGTTTCCCTTTCTTGGCACGAGAGGCTCTCTGGCACACCTGTTTGAAACATGAGAGGTCCCACAAGGGAACACTTCATACAGCCCAAACACCAAGGGAGTGAGGCAAGGCACCACCAAACTGCAGCATGTGAAAGGACTGATCTAAATGCCAAGAGGCCTCTGGGCTCCAAAGTGTTCACAGCCAGACGTGGCTGTGTTTGGAAGATTGCTAAAACACTCATTATGCAGAACTAACCAGTAAATTCAAAGATTGCACTGCAACGTGAAGTCAAAAACACTTGTTGTTTGGGGGGGAAGTGGTGTGATAATTATCCTGATCTGGAAGACAAAACAGTTTTCAGGATGCATTAACCATTTTTAGTAATTCTTGGGAATTCTGCTGTTAAAAACATTACTTTTTTTACTATTAAGAGTGGAAATCATCACTTGTTTTGAGGGAAGCAGAATAATAACATCTATGTTATTATTCTAAAAAATATTCTCTAAAAAAAGAGATCAGCTACATCCTAACCTAAATGATTCTATGAATCTACTTAATAACCACTCGTTCTCTGCTGCTGCTAAGACAACCTGGGGTACAAAGCAGCCATTTCTGGTAATAACAAATTACATTCTCAAAGTCTATGACAGGGTGTCCAACAAGTTAACACTCAGGCAGGCAGATCTGCTAATTATCTCCTTCACTCTAGTTGACCTGGATGCTCTCAGAAGTTAATCTGTTCCCCAAAGATCAGGATAAAATCATTTCAAATAGAAAAAAAACCAAACCAGCCAGTGGTGTGTATCATTTATCTGAGAAGCAAAGCAAATACTCAGTGAAGCAAATAAATTAATGCTTAATTTGACTGCAGGCTTTTATATCACTGATTTCAACAGAAGTTAAAGGTGATGAGTTCCCCTGTGTGAGAATGGACTCAGTGGCAGCACTTCAATTGTTCCTTGACATGCAGATATTAGCAGTTTATGTTTAAAAGATGCTTCCCTTTGAGACTTAGGTGGTTGCAGAGGGTGATTTTGAGCTCAAACTACATCTCACCTCAAGACAGGTGGATGCACCATGGCTGTGTCACCACCACTACGTGACACCAGAGCCAGGATGGTCCATCTACTGGCAAGAAGAGCTCTGTGTTGTGAACTACAGACCAGTGTGGAACCTGCTCTCTCCAGCCCAGTGGGAATTCTGGTGCACAACTGGATCATTACACGTTTGTAAATCCAACCTGCCTCAGAAGCTGCCAGGATCTTGGAGGAAACAAGCTTGTGCTGTGCTAAAACAAGAGAGGAAAGGTGCCTGGGCTGCCCACAGTGATGCAGGGCAGTGTCAGGTACCCAGGTACCAGAATGGGTGAGGTCTTGTTGTCCTGCACACAGACAAACCCAGGGCAGAGTCATGAGGATGGAGTACAAAATGCCCCAACAGTGTGAATCCTCGAAGGAGGAAGGTTCAGTGATTATTATTCTGTGTTGGACTCGGGGCTGGTCAAAGATTTGGGAGAGGCAGTTGTGTCAGCCTTGACAGTGTCACTGTGAGTTCCCAGGAGCAGTGGGAGGGATGAGCAGAGATTCTCAGCTAGGAAAAGAAATCTGGAAATGTTTCACAGGCCCCAGGCAACGGGCTGTTTAAGCAGATGGAAGAGCCTCCATCACACACAGCAGTGTACAGTGACCAGACAAAACAGGGGGCCGTGGCTCCTCAGCTCTCAATTAAGAAAATACAGCAAAGACTGTGACAGGGTCCTGCCAAACAAGACAGAGACTTGATGAATTCACCTCTGTGCCTAGGAGAGCTCCATGAATAATGCTCAGACAATGAGGAAATAGGGAGAATGCTTTATTTTCCTAGTCATGGCTACAGCAGATTGCCTGGGGCTGTGTGAGGGCTGGGTGCTCAGTGGTTAGCTCAGCCTCTTTGACATGCAACTAAAATTAAGCTTGCAGGAATCATCAGACATGACAATGATTGAAATCCCGGGCTGAGGAGAGAGGGCTCCCAGGACCCCACACACACACACTGGTAGTATCTGCAGGCTGTTGACTTAAAGGCACAGACATGTCTAAGGACAACTGACCCTGAAACTGTGACACAAACTATTTCCAAATGCACAAGGAGTCTATTTAAAACCTGCCCTCTCACATAAATAGTTCTTTTTATTTGCAGGTAGCCCTGAGCCATCAGCTCTGGGCGGTGTGCCATGCTCTCAGGAATTACAGCCCCTCAGGCAGTCGTGTAGCTTTGCCTCTGGCACCCCCTAAATAGCTTGTGTGGCCTCTTAGTCATTCTGATGCCAACCCCTGCACAAGAATGGTTTTGTTCACCCCTACCACACAGCAGCCTTTGGAGTGAAATCCAGCAGCTGGTTTTAGACAGCTCACAGGAAAAACAGAGCAAACAGGCTGGAGTGATGGGAATACCGTGAGTGGAATTACATCACCCGGGCTAGAACTTGGCAAGACCTCCAGTAACAGTAGGGCAGCACTACAGCACCTTCTGTGAGCACAAGTCATTTGGTCCTTCTATCTAAATGATGGCATCTGCAGCAATAAAATACCTCCCAGCTCCATTGCAGGAGACAGGCACCAGGCAGAGTGTGGTTAAGCACACTGGCCAATTGTTTTCCAGGACTGGCAGAATCTGAACATCAGGAAAGAGCATGACCAGCTGCACTGGTCTGGCCAAGAGCTGGAGCAAAAGGAAAGGGAATTCTGTGTGAAACCCTCACATCAGCAGTGCCTGGCTCAGGGGGCAGCACCACAGGAATGCTGTCTCCCACAGGAAGGGTCCATGGGAAGCCTAGTTTTGTGCTGAAGGTCTTCCTCCCTACTGCTGAGACATTCCGGGTTGGAGCAGCTTCAGGCATCGGACATCCACATCTCTCCTCTGAAAAGCCTTTGCAGTGAAGACCTGGATTTGCAGTGTTACTCCATAAGTGGCTGAGGAAGTTGGCCTGAGCTACTGCTGCAACACAGAGGGAGAGACTTGTGGGTGATGACTGCAAATACCAGCTACTGAAGGCTCAGTTTTTACTTCAGGTGATGCTCACTTCCTGTTATCCTGCCTGTTCTTCCCAATGTTTTTGTGTTCATTAAACATTACACCTACCAGCACTCTCCCCAGTCAGTGCCTCGAGGCTGTGGAGTTCCTGTAGCACTGACCTCAGCTGTTACACCATGGATAGATCCTGGCAGGAAGCTGCTGAATATCAATGTTTGTCCTTGAGAAGACAAGGTAGCGGGTGGGGAGGCAAAATTTATTGACATGGAAAATGTCACCCACCTTTTGTTAAAATCACAACTCTCATAGGATCCTAAGTCAAGTCTGTGCAGTGATTTCTGCTGTGGCAAATCATGGTAGGATTAAGCTTCCTACTGCTGTGCTTCCTGAGCTTCAGATCATTTTATCCACCAGGAGTGGAAGTTTCAAGCTCTTTATGTGGGACATGCCTTTTATTTACAACACTGAGGGAATACCAAGAGCTGTGTCTTCTGCCTCAAGACAACCAAGATAATTCAATGAAATGCAGCAGAGAGTTTGTAACTCTGAGTTACTTTCTAAGACCACGGTATTGAACTTCTAAGGTAAAGTGTGAAAGGTAAGGAACACAAAAGTTATAATCTCAAATATTATAATAATAGAATCACACAATGATTTTGGTTGAAAGGGACCTTTAAGGCCATCTCATTCTGACTCCCTGCCATGGGCAGGGACACCTTCCACAATCCCAGGTTGATCCAAGCCCCATCCAACCCGGCCTTGAACTCCTCCAGGGATGGGGCAGCCCCAGCTTCTCTGGGCAACCTGTACCAGGGCCTCACCACCCTCACAGGGAAAAATTTCTTTTCAATATCCAATCTAAGCCTGCCCTCTGTCAGTCTGAAACCATTCCCCCTCCAATCCCTTGTCAAAAGTCCATCTTTCTTGTAGCTCCTTTAGGCACTGAGTGGCCTAAACTTTTCAGGAAGCCAATCTAAAGTTGGAGATCGGGACTCCTG